AAAAACATTCTTTAGCTGCCTTTATTATCTAATAACTATTTAATGAGTAGAAAAATGCTTTTGAAACATGTTATGTTTTTAAAAATGTATAAAGTATTGATCTTTATTAATTTCATCTTCACGATGAAGCCTTAAATTGACAGCCATGTTGCACTTACAATACATACATACATGATAAATATTATCATTGCTGTTGGAGTTTTATATGTTTACAGTGTTAGTTTAACATGTTAAATTATGGGACTGTCAGCTATTAGAGTTTTGGAGATACTTATTTTTATTAATCTGGTAAGAAATGTGAATATCTGTACCATATTTTATGTCTATCATTTAATTCTGTCTGAAGACATCTCATTGAAAAAGTGGAAACGTCAAGGAATTACCACCATCATTATAATTATCCTCTGAAACCAGTGACTAACATTACTTACCAAATGCTTTTGCAATAGCAATGCTCTCCAACAGGCCCATGAAGGGGATCACCGCTAGCCCTCCTCCAAAGTCCTTTAAAATACACAGAGAGGAAGACGAGAGAGTCAGCTGCTCTTTCTGAGAGCAGAGGAATTCTGGAAGTGAAACTTTTAGCTCAATCATTTATCTTCATCGGGTTACTGGCTGTTTCCTCCATACCTTCACAATCTCTCCAAAGGAAACGACGGTGCCGTTGGCTGTAGTGTCAGAGGTGGGTGGAGGCCTGAATGGTGGCAGTCCGCGGGTAGTTTTTCCAGTGATTGTGAAGACGTGATTACCATACACCTCCCAGGAAAATGCTAAGAGGGATGCAACGATGACCACTGCAGCGTTTCGCACTGAAGATATAAAGAAATACAATAAAAATGTAATGAACAGAATATTGTTTTTTTTGTAAAAGAGAGACACGTGTACTCAAACACAAAGGTACTCACTGGTAGCTACAGCCCACACTACTTTCCTGGCATACATGGAGCAGGTGGAGTCATTGTCAGAGGTTAGACTCGACTTCATGAACATCAACATGACCAGCAGAGCGAGACAAATCAGACCAAGAACCACATCACCGATCCTGGCCTCAGGGATCTTGTGGAAGGTGTAGTAAACCTCCAGGAAAAACTGCTGAGGGACACCCTGGATTCCCAGAATATTCTAGAAAAAACGGAAGAGCGGGTAAAACCACTGACTCTATGAACAGAAAAGGAGAGGGCAAGAGCAGTTCTCTCTTTGGAGTTTACACACT